AAATAAATAGATAGATAAATAAATAAAACTTCACTGTCTAATAGAAATATATGAAAACCACACAGATTATTTTAATTGTTGTCGTAGCTACACTATAAAAGTAAAAAGAAGCAGGTGAAGTGAATTTTTATAATAGATCTTATTTAATCCAACAGATCACAAATATTACCATTTCAACATGTAATCAATATTCAAAGTATTAAGGAGGTACTTTGCATCCTTTGTTTCATGTCAAGCCTAAAATCCAGTGTATGTTTTACACCCAGAGCACATTCCCATCAAGACCAGCTACATTTCCAGTGCTCGGTAGCCCTGGTGTGGGCTGCGCGAACAGCACCTGGTGAGTCACCAGGAATAGGAGAGCAGATGTGGAAGCAGCGGCAGGGCCAGTGCTTGGGAGATGGAAGGGAGAACTCTGTGGCCCAAGAGAAGGATTTGGAGGTAGAGCCCGTCCAGGTGGAGTTTGGAAGTACCCAGACTCTTGTAGGCTTTGGGAACAGCGCCAGGTGTCTGACCAAGCGGGTCAGACCAAACCTGTGTTCAGCAGCCTCAGGTCTTGGGTTCTGGCCAGGAAAGAATTCAGACCAAGACCCAAACTGTAAGAGAACATTTTTTGGGGGTGAATTATGCAGGTAGCAAAGTAATTCCTAGAAGAAATGGGCTTAGGACACTAGTGATAAAGGTAAAGGAAGGGCCCTTGGAGCTTGGGGGTGAGGAGGCTGATGATAATGTGACTGGAGGGGACCTGAGGAGGAGAAAAGAGGAAGGGACAGGCAAGACTGCGCTCTAAGGAGGAAGAGCAAGCTGGGTCCTAGATCCTAAGGGTTTAAGGGCAGAGATTCAATGGGAGGTGCCAGTAGATCTCAGTAGAACATTCAGCAGTTTTCCAGGTGTGTCCTTTCAGGGTTGTGGTCTTCACTGATTGGTTCACACTAAAAGGGGGGTCTTTATTCCATGCAGTTGGTCCTGAGGCTGGTTTTGTTGCTTATTTGGTCTGGAGCTGAAATACAATTGAGGCTTAGATGTTATCTCTATGGAGGGGAGTCAGGGGTTCCAAATATCATTGCCAGTGATATTCTAGGGGAGAAAAAGTCACCCTAGGGACGGGAAGGGGGAGAGGTCCCACCCTACAATTGTCCTTTGCTAGGCACCTGGGGCTTTCCATCCTGGTGACCTTCTGTACCTGGCCCACTGTCCTTGCTCTGCAACTCCAGCTGGTAAGGCCCAGGATATGTCTACATGAATTATTTATTCAAATCAATGAAGTCAAGTTGTGGACTGAGTGTTAGATAATTTAAATGGAGACAAAGACAGTTGCATGGAGAGGTCTGAGGCTGATGATGGCTAAAGTAGAATTCAGTATAAATGAATATCATCCCCCTCAAAGAAACCCAGAGGAAAGGTTGTGTTGCAATGGTCTGGAAGCAGGAGTACAAAGCTGGGAGGATTTGGGTCCCAACATCCTAAGATGCAGTGAAGGAGAGTGACTGAGTGCCTTCAGCCTACGCAGTTAGCCACGGAGCAGATGTCATCAGGGCAAAGAGAATCATCATGATGTAAACTCGGTCCTCCAACTTTGGCCATATCTAAGAAGCACTGTGGAGGGCTGCTTAAAAGCACTGATGGGTTAGTACAGGGTGGATATTCTAATAAACAAGATGTGTGAGTCATTGGTTTAAAGAAAAATGATAACCCTGAGTTTAATTCACTTCTTTACTAACTGTGTGAACAAATTATGTAATGCTGGCCCTCAATTTCCTCATAAAAAAAAGGCAGCATTAGAATACAGTAGAGGCCCAGTGCATAGGAATTGGCAGAAGATAGCTGCCCTCTGAGTAGGTGAAATAGTCCAACATATAACTATTAGACTTCCTCAGTCTTGGACAGAGTAGAAGCTAACCGGCAGAAGGTGAAGGCATGTTGCTATTGGCAACGGCACACCATATCTCTCTGTCTACAAAAGAGCTGATTTTCCTGCACAATTTGCCACAGAGATCTTTGTACAGCTTCTGAGTAGCTGCTAGATCTTTGAACAGCTTCCTACTGCTGAAGCCTGTGAGTCACCCTCTGAATCACCCCAGCAGAGAGGCCCCGTAGGAACTCAGAGAGTGCAGAGCAAGAGCTTACTCAGTTCAGAACAGCATGACTCCACGGAGAAACAGAAAAGGGAACACCAGGCAGATTTTATGCTGGATTGAGCTAACTCACATTTGGACCATTATAAAATAAGAAATTCAGCAAAGAGCATCTGAACTTTCAGGAGATATTTCTCTCTGAGACATGTCTATGCTAGAGAAAGTTTTGAGAATTATTGGTAGGAAAAGTAAAGCAATGTTTAAGAGCTTAGAAATGTCTGGTACTCAGTTTTCATTATAACATTACCTTTGAGTTCATATTTTTAAAAGTGACTACTCTGTTAAAGAATAAAACAGAATTGATCCCAGTGTTTGTAAGTTTGGTTTGGATGCTCTCTCTCCTGTTAAACCATACAGCAAATCAAGGACAACATTTAGGAATTCCACTGTAACTGCTTCTTTGTTCCAACAATTTATTTTATTCTCTAGATTCCACAGATGAGTGAGATCATGTGATACTTGTCTTTCTTTGACTGGCTTATTTCGCTTAGCATAATGCTCTCCAGATCTCTCTATGCTGTCTCAAAGGGTAAGAGATCCTTCTTTTTTATAGCTGCATAGTATTCCGTGGTGTAAATGTACCACAGTTTTTTAATTCACTCATCTACTGATAGGCACTTGGACTGTTTCCAGATCTTAGCTATTGTAAATTGCACTGCTATTAACATAGGGGTGCATACATTCTTTCTGATTGGTGTTTTAGACTTCTTATAATATATTCCTAGAAGTGGGATCACTGGGTCCAATGGCAGTTCCATATTTAATTTTTTGAAGAAACTCCATACTGTTTCCCATAAGAAAAGTGGGGAAAAATCTGAATATCTAACACTAACTTATTATGTAAGTTACAAAGTATGCCTTTGAGGAAGCATGGTGCAACCCTCAAAATGTTTTTAAGTGTCACAGTAACCAAAAACATACTTGTGAAATGAGAGTAAGTAGGAAAAAGCAAGATTATATAAAATTGTGGTCTCATTTAGCAAATAAATCTCTGCGTGTGTGATATAATTTGCATCAAAGTCCATTGTGAATCTAGAGCCATAATTTTTATGGTGCCGAGATCTAGTTTACTAACAATGAATGAGCCTATGTTCCATGATAAACATCCTGTCAATGTACCTATGAACTATGTCCACTTATAACTGGGGTAATTGAAGGGAAGCAATGATGAAAATAGTTCATCTGTACAATACTGTGTCAGGGCACCTTTTAAGATTTTTCTTACAAATAATTTCTTATCTACCCAATAAGGAGGTACTTTATTATCCCAATTTTACAGAGAAGGAAGCCAAGGTCCAGAGAAGTAAAAAGCCCAAAGTCATACTGCCAGGACACAGGGCTTGATTTGGACCCAGACAACTTAAAGAATGTGTGCTCTTACCAACAAGAAACAGGGTTTGCAATCAGACAGACCCTATGTTAGCCTCTTACTAATGTCATGCTCTTGGTCCAATTATTTAACCTCCCTTCGTCTCAGTATTGCCATCGCTGCTGCCAACTGACCTGAACTGACACGGCCTCCAGAGTCAGGCTCCTTTCATAAAAGGGGGAGCCTCATGCCATGGAGCTGGTCTATCAAAGGCTAGTTCCCCTCCCCCAGAACCTCAATATTTGGTGGTATGCTAGTATGAAAGCAAGTCTTGGACAAGTGCTGCTAAATATATAAACATTCATTAGCAAACAGAGCACAGTCCTGCCCTGTCCTTGGACACTCCAATCACAATTCTATGAGAGGCTCACTTGAAACTCATTCTGAAGCCAGGACTGGCCAGGTCTGAAGTCAGGTCTGAGTCAAGGCCGGGGCCAGGGGCCTCTGAGACCGGTCTGCAGTGCTGCGCTTGGATTTTTCTTTACCTCCTGTACGCAATGGCAGGAGGGCATGTTCCATCTTCCTAAAATACAAACCATCACTGAGTTCTACTCATTTCGCCAAAGGAAATCACTCTTGAACATTACCTGATCTACCGAACAAACTCTGGTGTCTATTTCTATAGCCTTCCTGCCTTCGGAGTGTGGGTTTCTGATGGTTCAGAGGATGTGAATTAGATAGAGTTAACTTGCAACACTGGCAGATATAAAACTGGCTTATCTCAAGTCATTATGGTATGAAGCATTCTCACACAGACACAACAGCAGTCATGTGTTTGTATTTGATTGGCAAATGTCATAGTCTTTCTCCCTTTCTGGATTCTCTGTCCACTCCCACCCAGGCATCCTCATTCTCAATGGAATGGTTAACTAGAGCCTTTTGGAACCTAAATATTTTACTAGTAAAATATAATCAGAGAGAGATATATGGGGGTATAAAGAATTACACATCATATCTCCCCAAGAAATAAGAGAGCTCATCATGCATTTAAAAGGACAAATCTAGGTCAAGTTATGATGTTAACTAGATACTGCAACAACAACAACAAAAAGTTGTTTTTTAAAAAATATTTCTTTAGAGAGAGAGGAAGGGAGAGGGAGAAGCATCCATCAGCCACCTCCTGCATGCCCCCTACTGGGGATCGAACCTGAAACCTTGGCATATGCCTCCACCAGAAATTGAACTGGGGACCTCTTTCTTGGTGCAAGAGATGAGGTTCAACCTAATCAGCCACACTGGCCAGGGTCCCCCAGAAAAGTTTTTAAAAAGCATTTCTACAAGTAAGAGATATGTTTTTATTTAACCAGCAGAACCTCTGTAAAAACTGAAACTGTTATTTCTGGAGATTCCAGAGTTTCCTTTGGAACTATCCCCCAACTCAGACAAAAGTCTGACTCAGCCTCATAAAAATCTGTGTTGTAATAGTGCACTGAAAACCACTGAAAAGAGGGTTAAAAGCAGCACACCATATATGGAGAAACCCGTATCTTCAAACTTGTCACTCGTGTTCTCCTTTCCTATTTCTCAAAGCTGAAGTGGGCTGTGTTTTGCAAAACCGAGACGCACACAGGCAGAACCTGCGGTGGCTCCCCGCCAGATGCCCGAGCATGCGAGTCACCCTGGCTCTGACAGCCTGGACGGTTTCTGTGGTCTGCAGTTACTCGTATGCAGCGAGTAGTTTACCAGATATCGACAATGAGGCATTTATCAAAGACTGTGTTCGCTTTCACAACAAGTTCCGATCAGAGGTGAAGCCGGCAGCCAGTGATATGCTGTACATGGTAAGGAAAATCCCAGTGTTTGTGGCGTCAGTCAGTCAAAACCAACTAATGTGTGCTGATTTGGGAAAGGGAAACCTTGATAATCCTGGACGCTGTCATTTGTGTTGTGTGTGTGTGTTTTTGTGATGGGTGTGCTCGGTAAATTTACAGTCTGCAATCGAAACAAACCCGGTGCAGCAGGGCAAATATATGTTACTTCTCTTTGTGGTCACTTCCTTCCCTCTCGGCATAGAGAGATTGCGCTTCTCTTTTTGTCTCTTGTTCCCTTTTCATTTCTGTGAGGGTTCTGTGTTTGGCTCTAAGTGTAATTGTCTGTGGCCAGCAGAGTACTGACTTTCCCGTGGAGACAGCAAATGGAGATGGGGACACATCAGTTTTTGATTCACTCAGGTTTGGGTGTGTATCTCAGTTCTGTGGCTTTGAGCTGTGTTTAGCCTTTCTGAGCTCCTTAAGGTGTCAAGTATTGTGGTTATTAATTTTTCTAAAAGCTGCAAAACAGCACACAATATTTTGTACCTACTCATAGCTCTTGACTTTAGAAAGTTCTCTTTATGCCACTTTGCTTTATGAAAAGGCCTTCATCCCTACCTGTTTTGTCCAACTGAAAGACATCCGAAGAGGATCTTCTTTATGAAAAACAACTGAAAGCAAAAGCAGTGTTCAGGGTTGGTTTCACAGCTTGCACCCTGGTAAGCTCCTTTCAAGAGTTACACTCAGCGTCACAGCGTCAAGGTTTGACCCATGTCTGTGAGCATTTGTGCTTTATTTCTATTTATTTAGTGCATCAGTAGCAAGACGTGTCCTAAGGCAATTGCTTTTTCGCTTTACCCCGATTTTGGCTAACCAAAGCGTTCATAGGTCTGCTCTACTTTCAGATAGCCAGGGAAACCTGTAACAGATCTTCCGCGAAGTGTTGGTCTGTGTCAATCACTCAGATTCTAAATTCCACGAAATTAGATGCTCTTGCTTTCTACTAGTCCTAGTTATTATTTGAAGATCATGCGTATATAAGAGGACCCTGTCCAGTGGTTCCTTCTCTATTCTTGTCATCACACCTCATTCCTCATTTAAATTCCCACTTTGCTCACTCCAGTTACATTGTTGCATATACAGGTTCCATTCTTGACCCTCTGGTTGTTTAATATTTATTCTTGCAGACCTGGGACCCAGCACTAGCCCAAATTGCAAAAGCATGGGCAAGAAAATGTCAGTTTTCACATAATGTACAGCTGAAGAAGCCCCACTTGCTGCACCCAAATTTCACTACACTGGGAGAAAACATCTGGAGTGGCACTCAGTCCATCTTTTCTGTGTCTTCAGCCATCACAAGCTGGTACAATGAAGTCGAATACTATAACTTCAAGACTCGGGAATGCAGCAGCGTCTGTGGCCATTACACTCAGGTAAGGATCTGCGCTGCATTCTCTCGAGACCATCTTTTCATGGGGGAGGACAAAACTGGAACCTAGTGTTAAGAAAATATACAGGAAGCTAGTGTAGCTGTCAATATGACAGTCAGGATTACAGGTTTACTCTTAAAAATAAATAAGTGGAAGAGTCCAATAGCAGAGTTGGCGGTTAAGCAGTTCAGTTAAGTGGACACAGGTGACATATGAAGGCCCATCATGGCTTGGAATGATTTTGATAACAGCTCTCTTCCCATGGGGCTTTATTCCCTTTGTAAGCAATCTCAGGGCCTTAAGAGTGGATGGTCAAGTAGGAGTGCTCTATGAAAGGCGAGGCTGTTGTTTTGGAACTACAAAATTGGGAGAAATGAGCCTCTCAGGCAGAAGTATCAGTAAGAATTGATGCTTTCATATCCTCCAATTCTTTCAAATGTGGATCAAGACCTTATCAAGTGTCACAAAAGGAGAAAAAAAAAGTTACACCCCTTAGAGAGAGGCCAACATGTAAACCAAAAGCTACAGTATAAACAATGCTGTGGCTTTTCTGCCCCCAAATCGATATTAGTCCCAAAGCAACATTCAGAGCCTCCCACTGAGATTTTGTTGTTGTTTGTTTTTCACTCAGTCTGGCTTTAGCTCCCTAACCCTAACTCAGGTTGGTAACTTTTGGGAAGAAGTTCCTAGGTAGCGTCTTCCAAAGTCTTCTACATGGACTACTTTCTGGACTGGACATGGGTGTGAGTGTGTGTGTTTCTTTATTTTATTTTTCTATCACTATTTATCCCCTCTATGCCTTCTTCTGCACCCCTGCCCCTGTTACAATCACCACACTACTGTCCATGTTCACGAGTTCTCTCTCTTTTAGGCTCAATCCCTCCATCCCCACCACACCCCACCCTACTCCACCTCATCCCTTCTCATCCCTCCCCACCTCACTCCACCCTACCCCACCCCACTCTGAATGCCTGCTGGACATGTTTTGTCTACTTAAGTTTATTTCCTGGCAGTCCTTGTTAAACCAGGAACTAAAGGACTTTACGTTGCACCGGTGTGAATGAGCAAGCATGTGTTGAAATGAGGTATGGTAGCAAAAACATTCTTAACAAGAGTTTTTAAAGAACAAATGTTATTAGAAAAACTCTTAATACAGTTCAGCTCTATAAAGCCTTTGACTTCACTGGTATTGTTATAGGTAAAACAAGGTAAGCACAGTTACCGGTACAAAGAGGTTATGATTGTATGATGAGGACAGGTCAGATTTCAGTGAAATTTTCATACTGAAAGCCAGGAGGGGCTATGAAGTCATCAGTAGCATTATGTCCATTTCTTGGAAAATAAGTAAGGTTCCCCTAAATTTATTCCATAAACCATCAATTTTGGTTTATGTTTACAAATAAAATTAACCAGGGAATAAATTGTGTTGGGTTTCCATAAGTCCTAGAGGACAAGAAAGCTAAATCCAGATTGCCTACCCATGGCATTATAGTGTTTGTATTTGTTTGTTTATTTGGTTATTCCTCACCTGAGGACATACTTGCTATTGGTTTTTAGTGAAAGTGGAAGGGAGGGAGGGAGAGACTTCGATGAGAGAGCGATACCTCAATTGGTTGTGATAATGAAAAAAACATGGAAACCTGTAAAGAATTTTAGTGAGTTTATTTGAGCCAAACTGTCAATATATGCCTAGAAGGAGAACCTCAGTGGACTGAGATAATGCTCCAAAGAATGGCGGGTTACATTTCTATTTATACATTGCAATCAAAGGAGGGAAGTAGGTGGGTTACATGAATTCATTGGTGACGGGTTAAGGAGGTGGGATAAAGCAAAGCAGTAGGAAACCCCTGGGATTGGATAAAAAGTAAAATGATGGACCCTAACTTAGATGAGTGCAGAAATAATTGACATGATAAAGAAGGAATCTGAGGCATCTGTCCTGAGGCCTACCACATTTGGTTGTGCCCCAGGGGCTCCAGAAAAAGGGAAGTTACAAGTTACCCAGATATCTCACAGATATGTTATCTTAGAGGGAAAAAGGCCATGGGCTCAGTAAAGAAGATCTAAGTTGACCTTTGTCAGGGAAAATATCATCCTAGGACATGACTACCTACTATAACCTGTTTGTAGTTAAAATATTTAATTTTTAAACCATCTTTTGTGGTTATTTTAGGTCTCTGAGTTTGCAAGACTGCCATGCAGGCATCCCCTGAGCTTGTCAGGTTAGCATGTGGCTCCTTTTGTTCACAGTTGCCTCCCACATGCCCCTTGACCAGGGATAGGAACCAAGCCTACAACCCAGGTAAAGCCTTAGATAGGAAATCTAACCACTGAACAACACCAGCCAGGGTGCAAGATAGTGTTTAAATTTCCAGAAATAACTGTCAGTTTGAGGAGGCCAACTCTTTTTCAAGCAGCATTTAAGCTTCTACCCTACACCAGGTACTTTGTAAGGCACTGGTCATATGTCTTAGTACACATTCCTAAAAACAGAACTTAGGACAATAGCTTATATGCTAACACTTTACGAGGGAGAAGTAGGAATGAGGAGTAAGCCAGGGAATGAAGGACTCAGCAGGGAATGGCCTTGACCCTTAGGAGTTGACCTTCTTTGAAGAGAGGCATATGTGTAAATGGACATGTAACCAACAGTGCGAAGCTGGTGCTATTTGGAGAAACTGACAGAGTGCCCTTGAGCAAAGAGGACAGAGCAACTTATCTGGCCAAAGGGAGGGGTGGAGACACAGGAGTTGTTCACACAGCAGGAAATGTATGAGTTGAATCTTGAAAACTGAGAGGAAAGGGAAGAGAACACCAGGCAATATTAAGAAGGTGTGGATGGTGTACAATCTGTACAAATGAGCCTGGCACTTCAAAAGAATGGCCAGAAGCTTAGCACACCAAATATGTAGAAATCAAAAGGCTGATGATACATTGGAAAAAGACTCTCAAACAATGCAAGTTAAGACATTCCATAGCTATCATCCCAGAAAGCCAAAACTTGATTTTTTATCATAGAGACCTGAGATTTTAGAGATGGCCCACCCCAAATTAACTGAGCTTACTTGTAAATGTGTCCTTTACACCCAGGGACAGAAATAATGGCTAATATTTTGGACACACTAAAACCCACTCCATTGCATACAGGTATCGGAGCCCAAGCTCTGGGTGCGTGATCCTAACCTGTTCTCTATAAAAAACATCCTATCCCTCCTCAGAAGAGGGGCCCTCATTCTGGGGAGCATGTCCAGGAACTCCCTGGTCTGGGAAGATGCACCACCAGCAAATATTTTTTTTTTAAAATATATTTTTATTGATTTCAGAAAGGAAGGGAGAGGGAGAGAGAGAGAAACATCAAAGATGAGAGAATCATTGATTGGCTGCCTTTTGCATGCCCCACACTGAGGATCAAACTTGCAACCTAGGCCTATGCCCTGACCAGGAATCAAACAGTGATCTCCTGGTTCATAGGTCAACACTCAACCACTGAGCCATGTCAGCCGGGCAGCAATTACTTTTTAAGTGAGCGTGGTGCTTAGTCCTCTATGTCTAAGATCTCACTCATTCAATTCTCACTACAAACTTATGAGAGAAACACTAATCTCCATATAGGAATACACAGCCTCAAAAGGTTAAGACATTGTTTTCCCAATACCATTTGGATGGAAGAAGAGCTGAGATTCGAATGCCAGGTTGTAAAGATTAAAGAATACAACATCTGTAAATTATCTAGTAAGGCACTAGTGTTTAGTATGCACTGAACAAGGAGTGCATTTCTTCCATGAGCCAGTTTTCTAGCAATTATATTGGAAGAAGGCTCGGCTTGCACAAAACCTCGCTGGGAGAGTAAAAACTACTCAGTTGCCACTTTAAATTCATTCCTGGAACGACCTTAAGTGGGTATTATAACCTCCCATTTATTGTCATCTTCTATTAATAGAAAGCAAGCTATTTTCAGATCTGGGCTTGTGGAGGGTGGTTGTGTAAAGACAATGGATCCAGATCCATTATGACCTCACAAAGGTATGACACTTCTTAAAATGCTAACATGTTAGCTGTCTTCATGAAAGATGACTTGTCGCCGGGACTGGTTTGGCTCACTGGATAGAGTGTCGGCCTGCAGACTGAAAGGTCCCAGGTTCGATTCTGGTCAAGGGCATGTACTGTGGTTGCGGGCACATCCCCAGTAGGGGGTGTGCAAGAGGCAGCTGATGGATGATTCTCTCTCATTGATGTTTCTAACTCTCTATCCCTCTCTCTTCCTCTCTGTGAAAAATCAATAAAAATATATTAAAAAAAAAAAAAAAAGAAAGATGACTTGTCTTGTGGAATCATTTTGGTATAATAACATGGCAGAGTATTTACATTATATCTTTTATTCCCCACAGATCAGCTTTGTAAAGGCTGAAAATAGTTTTACTTCTGTATCTGGGCAGGGCAGCAGCTCAGGTTTGACAGTGTTGAGGATGCCCTCTATTGGTCTCATTTTTGTGTTTAAATCCTTCTCCACCCCATCCCAACCTTCTAGAAATTTTTGTTACTTTTTACTCTCACAGAAACAAAGGACCTTTGACGTTTCCCAGTGTTTCTAGCTGGCTTTTTTTTTTTTTTAATTTTTTAAATATATTTTATTGATTTTTCACAGAGAGGAAGGGAGAGAGATAGAGAGCTAGAAACGTCGATGAGAGAGAAACATTGACCAGCTGCCTCTTGCACACCCCCTACCGGGGATGTGCCCACAACCAATGTACATGCCTTTGACCGGAATCGAACCTGGGACCTTTCAGTCTGCAGACCGACGCTCTACCACTGAGCCAAACCGGTCTCGGCTCTAGCTGGCTTTTTATATGTTACAAGGTTACCATAGCCCTGGTATGAGCCAGACGGACTCATACTGAGAATTGAAAGAGTGGAAAGGGGTTGTTAGCCAGACGGGAGACATGCCTGCCCCCACTTAGTTCCCCAAAGAAACATCAAAGATGAGAGAATCATTGATTATCTTCCTCTTGCATGCCCCGCACTGAGGATCAAACTCATAACCTGAGCTTGTGCCCTGACCACGAATCAAACAGTGACTTCCTGGTTCATAGGTCAACACTCAACCACTGAGCCATGTCAGCCGGGCAGCAATTACTTTTTAAGTGAGTGTGGTGCTTAGTCCTCTATGTCTAAGATCTCACTCATTCAATTCTCACTACAAACGTATGAGAGAAACACTAATCTCCATATATGAATACACAGCCTCAGAAAAGGTTAAGACATTGTTTTCCCAATGCCATTTAGTCAGAAAAAGAGCTGATCAGGCTAGCAGGGGGGAGAGTTAGGGGGAATCAGGCAGGCAGGCAGGTGAGCAGTTAGGAGCCAGCTGTCCTGGATTGTGAAAAGGATGTCCCGGATTGAAGAGGGTGCAGGCTGGGCTGAGGGGATCTGCCCCATGCATGAATTTTGTGCACTGGGCCTCTAGGTGATGTATAAAACTGACAGGATCATATCAATAGATGCAGAAAAAGCATTTGATAAAAATGCACCACTTTTTCTTTTCAAACTAGAAGAGATTTTTAAACATTTATTTGGAAAATCACAAAGGTAGAAATTATTTGTAGAAGAAATGAGCTTAAGAAACAAATTATAGAAGTAAAGGAAGTCCCTATGAGCCTCCTACTCCACCGCTGTGCCTTTGAGAAGCTCAGACTCCATTCTCAGCTCCCCTCTTCTCTCACCTTATACTCGCTCCCCAGGGAGTGGTTTTTATTACTGATTTTTTCACCCAAATTTGATTTTTTTCTGCAGCCTCAATGGCCTTGTCTTTCTCACCTTGGGTTCACAGGGATACTGCCCTCTACTGGAAGATTTCTCTGGGCTCTCCCAGACCCATTTTCTCCAGATTCAGTTTCAGTTCCACCTCACTAACGAAGGGGGGAGGGGGAGAGAGACAGGAGGGGGAAAGGGCCTCATGCTATATACCCCCGGAGCACCCTCTGCTTCCCCTGCATATTGTGAAACCCTATGTGATGACGGCTTTCCTGGGCATTTTGTGAAGGCACCCACTGGCTCCAGCCCATTCACCTTTGCACCCCCCATATTCAGCACAGTTTTTGTCACAGAGTTGCAAAAATTGTTGAGCAAAAATAATTAAAAATGCAATATGGTATATCTGTAAAAAAAAAAAAATAAAATTTACTTTTAATGGCTGGCTTGGCTTCAGATACCTTTTTTATTTAGGTTCTGGGACACCAAACACTATGGTAAGATAAGCTATGGAATTTGTGGGACGCAGTACAAAATGAAACTGGAGAGTCCCTTGTTCAAAAATAAGAAGGAAATACAACTAAAGGTACTAAAATGTGTGACAGCATTCAATTAAACCAAGTATGCAGCTCTCTGATCACAGGGCCCCTCCTCCCCCTGAAGCTGGCTCTGTTTATTCTTGGTTTCCCTGTGTTACTGACCTCTCCTTTCAGTCTCTTGGCTGGCGGTTGTTCTTGATCCCAGCTCTCACTTGTTTTTCTATTATCTCGGTCTATGGGGTCTGATCCAGTTACATGTCTTTCAGATTTGCATCTCTGCACTGCACATGGTTCTATCCAGCAGCCGACTCAGTGTGCACTCAGATATTTGATAGGCATCTGAAAACTCCCATGACATGGACAGAACCCCACCCGTGCAACCACCCATCCTCCTCCTTGGTGATTCTCCCCATCTCAGTAAATGCTGCTCGGGCCTAAAACATTAACTTTATTTGTATCTTTTCCTCTTAACCGCACACTCAAAGCTGTAGAGGGCCCCCTGGGAAGGCACATGGGCATTCTTTAATTATTGTCAGCTGAACCCAGGGGTGTCGGCAAAGCCACACCCTGGGAACACGCCTTGCCAAAAGGGCAAGGGTGTTGTCAGCTGGACCTTCATTTCAGCCCATGGTGTGGGGAAGTGGGTTTTGATATCTAAATTCAGCCTAGCACCTGGAATGCTCAGGGCCTACTCAAGAATGCAAATAATCTTCTTTGTCTTGACCTTTTGGTGAAACTTCCTGGTATTTGGGGGTGTAAACTAAGCATGCTGCATCAGCTCTGGGTCACTGTCTCTCCATAGGAAGAGGGCAGCAGTCCACTAGGCCCCAGCTTTTCTATCTCTGTGTCTTGTTTCTTTCTTTTATTTCTCAATCCCCAGCCACCTCTACTCAGGAATTGGACCCACTCTCAAGCCACGCTGGACATGGAAAAGAGAGAAAATAGTTACCCAAAGCAAAAGGGAATCCTATCAGCTTTACATCTAACTGGAACTATGAGCCTGATCAGTTCTCAAGAACTCCACTCCACAATACAAGTGTGACCTTCTCTTTTCTGTACCACCGAGATAGCCTCCCATATTTCCGTCCTCTTACTTCCCTCAGTCTTCTCAGTCCATTTACTCAGAACAACCAGAGGGATCTTTCCAGGACATGAAAAAGGCCCATACAAGACTCCCCGTGACCTGCTCTTCTGTCTCCGCCCTCATGGCCTCTGAATCTCCTCCCCACTCCTGTTCTCCCAGCTGTTCTCCTCTCCCAGACACTCTCCTCTCAGGGCCCTCACCCTGCATGCTCCTCCTGCACAGGGCCTCTTCCTCTTCACACAGCTGGCCTGCATGGTCCTCCTCAGTGCTGCCTCCTCCTCCTCAGGTCTCAGCTGGAATGCCACCTCCCAGAGACATTGCCCTGAACACCCAAGTTAAAGCAGCCTCTTCCTCCCCTCTGTCACTCCCTATCCTGTGACCGTGCTTTATTTCTTCATTACACCAACTGTCAAAAATGATCTTTTTTATTCTTTATATATTTCACACACAGACACCCCCCCCCAAAAAAAAAAATAATAGTAATTTGCAATTCTTGTTTTCACCTGAGTTCTGAGCACCTAAAACTTCCCTGGTATAAGTGTTCTACCTCACTAGAGTAACTATACCTCACCATGTTTATGAAGGCCTAATCACAATCAAATGTTTACTTTTTATCTCTCTCTCTCTCTCTCTCTGTCTCTCTCTCTCTCTCTCAGGTTGTTTGGGCAGATAGCTACAAAGTTGGATGTGCAGTACAATTCTGTCCTCAAGTTGCCGGCTTGAAGTTTACCGATGTTGCACATTTTATATGCAACTACGGACCAGCGTAAGTGCTCAAATCAACCTCTTTCTAAAAAACAAACAAACAAACAAATAAACAAAAAAACATTATTTCTACTTTACAATATTTATTCTCACTTTAAAAAAAAATTGAAATAAAGTGTATAGAAGAATAGTAATAAGAGCCTTAATTCCTCTCCCTAGAGACCTACTCCATTAACATTCTGGTACATTTCTCTATGTGTGTGTGTGAGGTGTGTATACACCCTTTATAAATACTACATAAATACATATGTACGTTTTTAACAGTAGCAAGACTAAACTGTTTTCAGGGACACAGGTTGGATATGATAATAACACCACAAAATAAGAGGATTGGTGTTACTTTATATTTATTGGTTTATTTAAAACTTGGAAATTTTGCACAATTGTTAAAATAAAAATAACTCTGATCTGAATTTCTCAATGGACATAAGGCGCAGGAAACTGACCACCAAGGCATTTAAAGTAAAGTTTATTCCCCAGTAATGAGTGGGACTCATTACGGAGGTAGAGAAATCAGAATTGAAGGAGTGGGGAGGGCAGATGGACCCAGCCGGGGTGCCACCTGGACATGGAGGACAAGCAGCCCCTGGCTGGTCTGGGGGTCTTTTTAAGGGGGAGGAACAGTAAAGGGTTTGACCCAGAGCAGAACAGGAAGGGGTGGGCTCCAGGACACTTTGACACACACTGATTGGTGGCTCAATGTCTTGGGGATGTCTCTGTGACAGCTGCCAGTAATATCATAACTCCGCCCACCAGCTGGGAGGAGGGAGAACCTTATACATAACTTATTTCATTTATTTTTGATAATTCTTCTTTTAAATAATTACAATTTGTCTCCTTTTAGAAAACAGGAAGTCACATGACCTCTCCCCCAACTTCCTTTAAAGTTTAAGTATGCCTGCTTATGCATCATACACCTATTTAGGAAGCTGAGATAATGGAAATACATGTTTTCTATTTTTTTACTTAAAGTTAAACCATGACCATGTCCCAGGACAATATACTTGTACTCTGCTCCTCAAGCTCTGAGCACTGCTCCATAAGTAATGCTGTAATTTTCACAGAATGTGAGACAGCTTGTTACTGCCCCCTTTGCAGATAAGAAAACTGAGGCACCGAAGGGTGAACCGCCTGCCGAGGTCCCTCAGTTAGGGAGTGTCAGAGCCAGACTCTGCCCTGCTGTCTGGCTCCGGAGTCCCTGCTCTGCATGGCACATCTGTCCTCCAGTTTCGAGTTACACCCTCACCTCCTTCCAATTGCTCTGGACAGTTTTGACCCCTCTCCTCCTGGAAGTTTCAGGTCTCTCTCATCTGTATTATCCCAAACTCAGACACAACACTCTCCTTCATTCTCCAGGGCCGCACTGAGTAAGGCTATGCTGGGAAACCAAGAGATTATAATACAGTAGAAGATATGGCAATGTGGACTATCAAACAGTACAGTGCCCAGTATACCTTAGCCACCACTACTTAGGGGACCCTTATCATGTTAACCTTGTTCTTTTGCAGAGCCCCAGGGCCCTAGTCCTGTATCTCTCAGGCTACCAAGGGAAACCCTAAAACTTCCTGCTTCTTTATTGGGCAGAGTACTGTAGGTCGCTTTGTCTTAATCTCTGACCACCAAGGCATTTCTAGGCCTTGCCAGCAGCTGTTCCTCCCGAGATGAATTCTGCTATTTCCCTAGGATAGCAACTGCCTCGATATTAGCTTATTTCTGAAGCAGCTATTTCCCCCTCTTCGTTATTATTGTGTAATGCACAATTAGACAAAAAATGAAGTCCCATAAGTGATCTTATTAAGAATGTTACCACTCAATGAGTATTGTGTTAACAGTAAAAGGTATTCTGATGATTAATGTCCATTTTGGACATCTTTTATAGTTGTAGTCAGAATCTCTAATACATTCCTTTGATTAATTTCTATGGCATAGAGTAAACATGAGGGTAAACTTAACTTCCAAAACAACCTAAATTAGTGTGGAGCCAAAGTTAGAACATACATTTTTGGGTTGGAAATGAGATGCTAATGTGTTTCTAAAGGAGGGGTTAATTTCAGAGATAAAAGTATAATACAGTGGTGCCTCGCATAAAGAACGCCTCGCATAAAGAACGCCTCACACAGCGAACACTGCACACAACGAACTTCATTTCATGATTCATACAACGAACTTCGTTTCACACAACGAAGTCGCCCGAGCTTCCACGACCGCTTTGCCCGAGCTTCCACGACTGCTTCGCCCGAGCTTCCACGATCGCTGCCGATGTATTGCATCCTTCCTTGCAGGCACTGCAGGCAGTCGTTAGTCACTGCGCTTAACTTAAGCACGTATCGCGGCAATCGTTCTTCATTACGAATTAAATCACGCACGTATCACGGCAGTCGTCCTTTTAAGTTAAACTCAATTTTTTTTTATATCATGGCTTCTAAAAAAAAGTAGGAAGGTGATTTCTGTTGAAATGAAACAGGAAATAATTAGAAGGAGTGAATGTGGGGTAAAACAGTGTGACCTCGTCAAAGATTTTGGCCTCAGCAAGACCACCATTTTCACCATTTTGACAAATAAGGATGCAATCAAATCAGCCAAAGTAGCCAAAGGAGTATCAGAACTATTTCATGAAAAACATAGGTCTTCAATCCACGAGGAAATGGAGAGGCTATTAGCGATTTGGATTAAGGACAGGCAGGTGAAAGGTGACGTAACAACCCAAGATATTATCTGTCACAAAGCCAAGAGAGTTTATGACGATCTAAAGAAAAACGTCCCTGGAAGTAGCAGCAATCAAGATAATGAAGAAGAATTCAAAGCCAGCAGGGGGTGGTTTTTTAGATTTAAGAAAAGGTGTGGAATCCACAGCGTTACTATGCATGGTGAGGCTGGCAGTGCTGACAAGAAAGAAGCAGAAAAGTTCTCTATTAACTTTCAAAAATGTATTAAGGATGAAGGATACTGCCCACAACAAGTGTTCAATGCCGATGAAACGGGTCTTTTCTGGAAAAGAATGCCGAGCAGAACCTTCATTACAAAAGAGGAGAAGAAATTGCCAGGACACAAAGCCATGAAGGACAGACTTACCCTTATGTTTTCGTCTAATGCCAGCAGAGACCTCAAGATCAAACCTCTATTGGTTTATCACTCTGAAAATCCAAGAATTTTCAAGAAAAATAACGTTATTAAGTCCAAACTGCCCGTCCATTGGAAATCCAACCAAAAAGCCTGGGTGACCCAAGTTATCTTCAACGAATGGATTCTGGAAACCTTTGCTCCTGCCGTGAAGAAATTCTTGCTGGAAAAAGAACTGCCGCTCAAAGCCCTTCTGATACTTGACAATGCCCCTTCTCACCCAAAAGACCTAGAGGAAATATTGCAGGAAAATTATCCTTTTATCAAGGTGCAGTATTTGCCACCAAACACCACATCCATTCTTCAGCCAATGGATCAGCAAGTTATTGCGAACTTTAAAAAACTCTACACTAGAGCCCTCTTTAATAAGGTGTTTGAAGAATGCGAGTTTGGTGGAGACAATATGACTGTCTGAAAGTTTTGGAAGGAGAAATTTGATGTCCTTATGGCAATACGACTTATACAGAAGGCCTGGGAAGAAGTGTCACAAAGGACCCTCATTTCTGCTTGGAAGATGCTTGTGCCTTCGTGGACCCAGGAAGAAGCAGTAGTTGATGACACAGAAGTGGTGAAGGACATCATCACAGTGGCCCAAAGGTTGGAATTAGAGGTAGAGGAAGAGGATGTAGAGGAGCTTATTGAGGAACACGAAGAAGAGCTGACAACTGAAGAGCTCCAAGCACTTCTGGTCCAGCAACAGGACAATGCTCAAAGGGAAGCGTCATCTGATAACGAGGAGCAACAATCAAACAATCAACCAATCCCAACTGCTGACATCAAGAACATCCTGGTCAAATGGAAAGCAGTTCAGGAGTTTACCAATGCCCACTATCCGGATTCAGCTGAAGCAAACAGGATCAACGATCTTTACTCCGATACTCTTGTCCGTTATTTCCGGCAGATGTTGGAGAAAAGAGAAAAACAAACGACTTTGGACAGGTTTTTCATGAAACCATCGGCCAAAAAGCAGAAAATGGATGATGTGCAAGATTCGGTAGACTCTACTTAGTCTGTCTTAAAATTAATAAAATGTGTGTTTTTTTAAAAAAAAATTATGTTTTTAGATGTATCTAAATAAAAATAATAACAAAAAAATTATCTTTTTTTATGTCATCTTAGCATATTTTATGCTACAGAACGAATTATTTTTTTTAACATGTATTGTTATGGGAAAACGCGTTTCACATAACTAACTTTTCGCATAACAAACTTGCTCCTGGAATGAATTAAGTTCGTTGTGTGAGGCACCACTGTATTAGGGGAGGGAAGTCCCTGAACTTGGATTAGAAAAGTAACATCTTTATTTCCACTAATCTCTACTGAAAGTAACATTTCATTATGAATGAAGAGAACACTTCTTCAGCAATACCTATGCATTCATATTGGCACTATTATATCTTTGTAAATAACACAGATATTTTCATATCACATTCTGGGTGCTGTAGATCATCTCAAAATAGTTTTATCCATCACTGCTATGAAATTAATATAACTATTAAACCCCCGGCTTGATTGTATCTAATATTTAATAGAGAAATACATATTACTATATCACAAATATTTTTACCATTTTAACAATTTTCAATTTAATTGGTTTCCTTTATACTAGTAGTCCTATAACATTTACTTTATACATTAAAAAAACAAAACAAACAAACAAACAAAAAACAAAAAACTATTTTCAGAGAGTCCCCATCAGGCAACCAAAGGTCCCAGGCATAAAAAGAACTTCTTTCTAAAAGCAGAGTCCAAAAAGGACTAGTGTACCTGCAAGTTCACTGAAATAAATGCAGAGCTCCGCACTGCTACTCTGCAGATCTTCACGGGGATAAAAAATGTTTGGAGAGTCTCTCATTTTCCAGTCTGTGGCCTTGACCAATTACTTGTACTCTGTGCCTCAGCCTCTATCTATAGAATGGGGATAAATAAATAACTGTACCTTCCTCACAGGGCTGAGGTTAATTCATTAGAACTTAGAATAGTGCCTAGTACATAAGGGAGACTCAGTAATTATTATCTATTATTCCTCTCACAGCTTTTATGGAAACACAAACTGCATTGTAGAAATTCCCCAAGTCTTGTTTTCTTTTGTTAGGTGCTTATCCAGCCAAATGGCTCTCATCCAGTAAACATCAGGGCGGCTTGTGAATGGAGGAGTCAGTGTGGGTCACGCCACCCTTCCTAAGATGGACAGTTGCTTGGATGACAATGATCACATGGGCCAGGCAGGCAAAGGGAGCACTGCCTGGAGCCAGAGTGACCTGGGCTTCATTCTGACTCACACACACACACACACACACACACACACACACACATACATACACACACACACACACACACACACACAGTGATTTCTTCCTCCCTGAGTTGTCTTAAGAACTAAATGATGAAGACCAAGACATAGGTTCACAGACACAGGCACACAGAATAAACCCTAAATATGAACAGGCTTCCATTTCTGCTTTCCTCTCTCCACTTTTCTTACCAACCCTCTGAATCTGGACTTCCATCCTACGGGTTTAGTCAAGGATTCATAGTAAATTATAATCGTATTATAACAACAACAACAAACCTCTCCTAATGGACAGTTTTCTTCTCCCTTATAGAGGAAATTACCCCACTTGGCCGTATAAAAAAGGATCCACTTGCAGTGCTTGCCCCCAAAATGACAATTGTTTGGACAATCTGTGCGGTGAGTAAAAGAAACAAGCTACCCATAATACAATGTGTTTAAACAATTGTAACTTTCTACAGTTAAGAATGCAAACCTTTGTTTTATCCTAATAGCTATTTTCAGGAATAGTTATTAGGTTGAAATCAAACCAATGGCTTATTATTGTCCTAGGACTGTATGTTTAATATAAATTTAAAGAAGCAATTAGTATCCTTTTTATTTAGCTCTAATCAGTACAACACAAAAATGACTATGGTGTTGGAAACTATAGACCCAAAATTTGCTAATTTCAACAAGATCAAAAATTTGTATAATGAAGCTATCCAAATGAACAGTATTGTGAATTTTGTGATACTACTTGTCCAAGGCACTCAAGGCTGCATTTTCATCTGTATGTAGAATAAATGAAACAAGCTGTAATGGGGCACTTCTTAAATTAGCAAAACAATATTTTAATGAGGATGGTGCAGAAAGCCACTGAAGGTAACTTCAAGGATGTTTTAATAAACATCCTAGCAAAATTCTGCTTTGTAATTTTGAAATAATAATCCATAACTGGCCAAGTTTATTAATAAGTTCCTCTTCCAGACACAGTTCTTTTCATCTCAGTATATTTTTAAATTTTTTCTATGATATGAAGAAAATTCAGTTAAGCTGTTGAAGTTGTGCAAATCCTTTTATGTAGTACTTTAGTGTCCACAACTGCAACCCACTGAACTCCCAGAGCTCCTTGGTCAGGGTGGGGTTCTTATATTAGAGGCAGGACAGAGTGGACCGAGTTTAACTGCATAAATTTTGGTTGGCAAAAGCATTCCACTGCTTATGTTTTCTAAGGCCCCTTCCAGGTCTAAAATTACAAAATTATTTTAAATGCCCTTTCTCCTGATGTAAGCAGTTAACTCTCATCTTCCCTCCAAGAACAATAACACTTCATTGACCAGGTTTCTGAGCCAGTTCTTTCTCTCCAGTTCAAGCATTCTTTATTTTATTCACATCAGTTTTGTTAGGAGAACTTGGCAAGGTGTAGTCCAAGTGCAACAAACCTCTTCTCAGAGTATCAATATACAATATTTACTGAATCTTCCCTTTCATGTTGTTACAACACTACAAAGCAAATTACTATGTTTTATAGCACAGGAGTTAAAACCTATGTTTTAGAAACAATATGCGCAGGCTTTCAGCCAAGATGGCGGCATAGGTAAACGCTGTATTCACTTCCTCCCACAACCACATCAAAATTACAACTAAACTACAGAACCAAATGTTGAAAACTGTGTGAAGTCTAGCTGGACAAACTTATATATAATTGAAACTTATTCAGTACCAGAGGCCTGGTGCACAAAATTCATGCACTGGGGGTGAGGGGGTGTCCCTCAAGCCCAGCCTGCACCCTCTTCAATCTGGTACCCCTCAGGGGATGTCCAACTGCCCGTTTAGGCCCGATCTCTGTGGGATCAGACCTAAACCAGCAGTCGGACATCACTCTCACCTGGGACCAGGACCACTGCTCCTAACCACTTCCCTGTTTGCCTGCCTGATTGCCCCTAACCGCTTCTGCCTGCCAGCCTGATCACCCCCGTAACCGCTCCCCTGCCAGCCCAATCACCTCCAACTGCCCTCCCCTGCCAACCTGATGCCCCTCCCAACTGCCCTCCCCTGCAGGTCTGGTTGCCCCCAACTGCCCTCCCCTGCCAGCCATCTTGTGACAACTTGGGGGCAGCCATCTTATGAGAAAGTGGGGGTGGCCATTTTGTGATGACATGGGGTGGCCATCTTTGTGAGGGTGTGAGGGTTAATTTGCACATTACCTCTTTATTATATAGGATAATGAATAATTTACAGAGCCACATTGAGACTAGAAGGGGAGGAGACAGGGAACTGCCTTGTGTGGGGTTAAAAATCGGGAGGGATATTTTGGCTGCAGAGGTCCCCCTGAGGAGCCTGGGTCCCAGCCCTACACCTGGCTTTCCAGCACTGGAACCCTGAGGTCACAACTTCTGGCTGTGAACCAGTGGGGGTTGTGGATGAATGAGATGAGAGCTGCTGGAATCCCAGGTGTTCCTCTAAAAGGGACTGTATGGACTTACATGGACTCATTCCTTCTAACATCCAGCCCTAGAGAGCAGCTCAAAAGGTGCCAGAAACATACAGGGGGGAATGAATTATCTGGCTTCAGAGCGAGGGCTGGAGGGCAGCCTGCTCCCAGAGAGAAGGGCTGGCAGAGCCATTGCTCCCTTATTGAGGCCCCCCCCCCCCCCCCTCTGCAGGCCCGAGCAGGCACCCTGAGTTTCCACCAACCTGGCTCACACAACTCTCCCTGCCCTGGTGGTTCCCTCAGACCCTGACCCACCCAACTTTTGGACCCAACCAAGCCACCTCCAGTGGCTTTTCCACTCAAATGGCCTCTCTAGGCTCACGCTGTGGACTTTCCTAAAATCTCTCAAAGGGTCACAAACCCAAACAAGCAACATCTGGCCTCAGGTGCCCCATACCTCTTGCTAAGTGGCCTCAGGCCCAACACTAGTGGCAGGTAGACTTGGTTAGAAGGTTAGCCTCTCCCAGGAGCCTCCAAGCCCAGCACAAGTGGCAAACAATTTTGTACTTCATCCCAGGAGGCCCCGAGCAGGATACAGACATTGGTTAATCCTGGCCTGCACCTCCCAAGAGGCCCCCAAGTCAACATACCTGGAGGCCAGCTTCAGGCCACACCAGAGCACCACCCCACAAACAACAAAAAGGACAGACTCACCGGACAAAGGACAAAGCACAGAGCCCTGCTAAAGCAAATCCTGCTCTGTAGGGTCAGTCCCTACACAAAAGCTCAACTGTGGTCATACAGTTCTCATAACTAATCAGCATGAGGGTCAGTCTTTCCCACGGATGTGCCAACAGCAATCAAGGTTCACCCGCAACAGGAGGGCACACACAACCCACACAAGGGACATACCCAGAGCACCCAACTCAGATGACCAGGGAGAGTGCAACACTGGACCCCTCAGGACACCTATACACATAGGCCATTCTACCAAGACTGAGAGGAGAAGCAGCTCTACCTAATATATAGAAGCAAACACAGGGAGGCAGCCAAAATAAGGAGACAGATACATGTCCAAAATGAAAGTTATCTGGACCTATTTCCTCAATAACGTATTGATGACATTATAATTCAAAGAAAACACACACACACATTGTATATATTTAGAACAAGGACTTGTCATACAGTAGCACTCAATAAATACTTTCTATTATCCCCAAATTTCTCTTCTCTGCAATTCCAAATCTTGAATTTACTCTTGGTGTTTTGGTATTTACTCTTATTGTTTTATGTCCAAATTTTTAGGTGATATTTTTATGCCCATGATCAATCCTCTTAAAATCAATGATTCAAACTGAGTCTCTAAATATTTTAAATTAGAATAGTTTAATTGTTGCCATTGGTTAGTTTTCTGTCTTTTCCACTCTAAATTCCAAACAGGGAGGAATTATGCCTATTCAATTCACCTTTGTAGCCAAGGTACCTGCTCTGGCTGGCAAGTAAGCATTTATAGGGAGTCGTGTTTCTTAAAAAACAAAAAAACTTCCTTTAAAAATCTAACCAATTAGTAACACAATTATAACAAGAAAAAAATTGCTAGTTTTAGCTTTTGATATTGGAGATCCAGCATGAAATGGTCTCTCATCTTGTGGAATGAAATTCAGAAAACTGAGGCTGTAGCCCAATAATAAAATGACCCTAGGGTCTTAAGAGAGATGAAAGGAAAAGACAAACCAATTTCATGAGGGGTAAGAGTTTGAATAAAGTATTTTATTTAACAGATTCCTTCTCTGACAAATTATAGGAAATGCTGGGGGGAAAAATCCTTTGTGGTCTTCTAGATACTGTGGATAGGCTCCATAAATACCCAGAAGCCAAATCAGGATGGTTTTGCAAAATGTGCTGGGAATACTGGATGGAACACGAGGTGACTTTAGCTAGCACATGGTTACATTTATCTTAATATTCAAGTTGAGTAGTTAACATTTAAAAAATATACATGCAGAAAAAAATGTAAGTAGCACATCACATTATTGATTTCATGGATATAACTGCCAAGAAAAGTTAAAGCAGCAGCTTCACAGTAACTGAACATAGAAGCCCAGGTGTGATGGTCAGGGTGCCCAGAGGCCTGCTCCTTTTCGGTTCCACCACAGGAATCCAATAGCAGCTGGAGTAGGACTGGTGTCAAAATGTGTCCTGACTATAAAAGGCTAAGGCAAATGCTAAGTTTTCTTCCTAGTGCTCCAATGTCAAATTCTGAATAAAAGCTCAGTGAAGGGAGAGGAGTAATTACGACTATGGTTGCCCAATGCCCCTATTTGTAATTTACCGACATGCTGAAATGGATGAGAGAGGCCACTATCTCTCTTTTACTGATAAACAGTATCATTCTTCTAAGGAAGAAACTTATTTTCAGGAAAATATTTTAATAAATTGCTCACACTCAATATTACTAATATTTTTTATTTTAAAAATTTAATGTTTTAATTTTTATTTTATTTGGATTCATTACCTGTTAAATATGGTATATAAAATGATTTTCCATTTACAGTAGTGATACATAAAAAATTTAGTTTATATGAAAGTTGGTTTAAAACTATTGAGTACAGTTAGTACATTAAAATCTAAAAAGTAATCTTTGAAAATCACTGCAATAAAGCCAAAGCAACAGTTAATGGTTATAATTAGAAACTTGGCTTTTAAAAATAAAAGCCTCCCCAGTACCTACTCTTTTAATTTTTTTCTTCTGATTTTACAGCTAGCCCACAGAGAGACAAACTCACACGTAAGTATATAAATCTTAATTGTTTCATTAAGGTCTTTGTGGATTATGTTGCTGCATTATGAAAAACAATGTTTAAGAGGATATTTTCTGTTTGTTTCACAGGTTACTACTCTATTGTGTATCCAGACCGGCCATTATATTTACGTAATAGATACCTATCTCTCTTTTTCATTGTTAGTCCACTAATACTAATCCTAGCTGCTGTTATTACCATCTTGGTCAAGTACAAACATTTAGTTCTTTTGAACTAATACAATCCGGGGAAAAAAATAGTTTACAGACTTGCCTGGCCAGTATTGCTCAGAGATTGAGCATCGACCTATGAACCAGGAGGTCACTGTTTGATTTCTGGTCAGTCCATGCCTGGGGTTTTAAGCTCAATCCCCAGGATATCAATGTTTCTCTCTGTCTTTCCCTCTCTTTCACTCTCCCTAGAAATCAGTGGAAAAATATACTCAGGTGAGGATTAAAAAAGAAAAGAATTACTTCTAAAATCATGCTAGACAAAGCCTGCCTGGAACAGATTCGGTGCAATGTACACAAAGACATTATACCACTCTCTAGTATAACATTATTCAAAAAATACATAGAGAATACAATAATTTATATTTATAAAGAATAGCCATACATATAAATACTCTTATAAAGAAAAACACATTCAGAAAAAAATAATCAGAGTATTACTTCTTACACATAAGGCAACTAATGCCCTAGTATCTAAAAGCCCTTTATAAAAAGAGATAGCGTATTAGGTTCTAGTTCAGGTTATGAGTGTATATGTGTGTGTATGTATTGCTTTTTTTTTCTTCTTCTTTTTCTTTTCATCTGCTTCCATCTTAAGCATAACTTCTTCAGCTGTGAGATCTTCCAGTTTCTTATCTTTGCTTTCTTAATATTTTCCTTGATGGCAGCCATGTCAATTTTAGTTTCAATAGAAGCTAGACAAATAAAAAACACAATGTATGTAATTCTTTAGATTTTACCAAATAAAACGTAAAAAATATATATTTAGTACAATCAGAATACTATTATAATTGGAAGGTGATGTTATAAAATATAAAGCACCTGCCATCAGCCTAAAGTTAGAAATGTCTTTAGGAGAAAATAATAATAATAATAAAAATACTTTAAAAATACATTAGTGAATACATACATAAAAATGGCATTATAGTCTAGCTATCTGAACCAATTACTGGATTTAACTGGATTCAACTACATTTTCCCCCCTTAACTCACACTTGAAATCGTATTATTTTTACTTATATTCTTTTCTATATTTTGGTACTTTAGAATAGTCATTAATATGCCAATTTCCATCTTGCATAAAATAATTAAAAATTACATTTTTTAAAATGTTTATTTATTGATGAGGGGGGGACATCTATTTGGTGTTGCACTTATTTATGATTCATTGGTTGATTCTTTTATGTATGTAACCTGACTGGGATTTGAACCTACAACTTTGGTGTTATCAGGATGATGCTCTAAAAACTGAGCTACCTTGCCAGGGCAAAATTATATTTCATGAAGAATATTACATGTAGTCCTCCCAGCTTCATTAATTTAATCAGGAAATGATAGGTCAAAATATACTTCATTTAATACCCCATAAAAACTTAAAAGTTTTCCCAGTATTAGTTTAATGAATGACCAGTAGAATTTTTAACAAGATTTTGGTAATAAAAACAATAATCTGATAGTATTTAGAGGTCTTTGTAACAGAACTCAACCACCTAACCAATGCCATTTGAAATGTATAGACATTGGAACACAGAGGATGCAAACCAGGAATCAGATGAATGTCTAGCTCTCCTTATCTTTAATGTCCCAGTGTAACTCAAAATGTTCTTTCACACCAATCTCAGAGAGACTTAAACTTAACATCACCAAATTTAAGTGGACTGTTCAACAAATACCCATCATAAATACTGGTAAAACAACTCATTATACCATGGTTACATTTCCAAGAACAGTCATGAACTTTGCACACAGTGGTATCACATTTCTCTCAAAAGGCTAACATAAATAATCTGAGTGTTAAGTTAAAAAAAAAAAAGGTTTTAATACAATCTGAAATAATCCAGGCTTTATTTAATAGAAAAAGGCAGAATTTTGAGATCACATCTCTAAATATATTAGACTAGTGGCCCGGTGCACAAAATTCATGCACATTAAAAGGGAGTTAATTACAGGAAATATTTTAATACTAGTGGCCCGGTGCATGATATTTGTGTGTGTGTTTGTGGGGTGGTCAGCCCAGCCTTTACCCTCTCCAATTGAGGAACCCTTGGGGGGATGTCTGCCTGCCTGCCTGATTGCGCCTAACCCCTCTGCCTGCCTGATCACCCCTAACTGCCCTCCCCTGCTGGCCTGATCACTCCTAAATGCCTCTGCCTGCCTGATCACCCTTAACTGCTCTCCCTGCAGGCCTGATCTTGCCCCCAATGGCCCTTTCCTGCAGGCCTGATCTCTCCCCTAACTGTTCTCCCCTGGCAACCTGATCACTTCTAACTGCCTCTGCCTCATCCCCCCACCACTATGTCTTTCTCCATACAGAAGTTAGACATCCAGAAGATGGCCAGTAGATCTGGTCTAATTAGCATATTACCCTTTTAGAAGTATAGATAGATTATATAGGATAGGATTGGTTAAATGGGGGGAAAAAAACCTTTTTCAGCAGGAGATTCTCTTGGCAGACAAAAATACATAACTGGACTGTTAGCCAGCCATATGCACTATACTGCCAAACTGGTCATTAAAAAATTGAACCGCTTTCTTACACCTTACACTAAACAGCTGTTGCCCTTAAAACCCCTCTTCAGCCCCCACCTTAGGTTCTGCCTTAGCAATGCACCCAGATTAGGTTCTGAATGGTCAGTTTCTATACCAGTCAGTGTCAAAAGCTCCGCCTCCTAGGCGGCCAGCGGCTCCTCGCAATTCACTCAGATTTGGTTCTGACTGGAAGGTTTTTATGGCGACCCAGCCCTGACTACAGGACAGATGTCTGCAGTGCTGACCCAGCACTGACTGACACTGGGGCTGCAGATCAGTCCCTGCTTCTCCCTCCTGGCCTCTCTGCGGGCCTGATCCGTAGCCCCCTCAGCAGTCAGTGGCTGCTAGATCTTTCATAATTGTCAACCTTGAGTACGATGATGTTATTCAATTGTACTGCGAAATTGTGACATATAGAACAAGTGTAATACTCTGCAACTGCAATTTAGGGAAAAGAGAGCAGGATTCAGAATATGTAGGCTTGCCCTAACCACTTTGGCTCAGTGCATAGAGCGTCGGCCTGTGGACTGAAGGCTCCCAGGTTTAATTCTGGTCAAGGGCATGTACCTTGGTTGTGGGCACATCTCCAGTAAGGGATGTGCAGGAGACAGCTGATAGATGTTTCTCTTTCATCAATGTTTCTAACTCTCTCTCTCTCCCTTCCTCTCTGGAAAAAAAAATCAATAAAATATATTTTTAAAAATACGTGGGCTCGAATAATGGAACTGCCACTTTATACGTGAAAGACATTTAATTTTCCTCTTCCAGCTTTCTCATTTGCAATGTGGAAATGAAGATACCTCAAGTGCCTGTTGTAAGAACTGAATAATATATTTATATTTTATAGAATTACAAAGTATTCAATATATTTAAGTTATTATTGCTTCATGAGAAAAAAGCAGATCATTTCTAAGAATGAGGTCCAAGAGAGTTCTATGAAAGACCCTCGAGAGGAAGAAGCAAGACCTCACAGCCAGATCCAGACAATAGAATCAAAAGGAGCCAATTAGAACAGTATCTGCTCGGCAGATTTCCTCATAACAAGTTAAAAATAAATGTTCATGAAAACATAATAAATTCAAACAAAAGAAAATTTGAGTTTGACCTCAACTGGCTGTATACAGTCCTGCAAATAACATCTGTTCATTCCCTAATATTTGAGCACATGTAACTAAAATGTGTAGTTGAAGGAGTGATGGTATGCAGACCTTCTAAACTGAAAAATGAATGTCTGTAATTGTCAAAGGTTGGCCATAATATGTTAGGGTCCAGGAGCAATGGCTCCCTCAAATTCCATGAAGTACAAAGCATTTACTAATGGGAAATCAAACAAAGCACATTCTAAAACAATACAATCATAAAAAACAATAGCCAAGTAACTTAACTTGTTCTCTGCTGAAAATTAACTCAACATAGTAAGTCATTTTCACCTCTTTTAAGCCACTAATAGGTCCAATGGCTGATACCATGTTTCCCTGAACCATAATGTAACAGTTTAAGAGTTCCAATGACTATATCAAAAGAACAATAAGTTGAAATTCAGTTGAAAAACTAATGACAAAGAAGATACTCAAGTTTTCTACTGATAACAAGTACCTTCAATGTAGATCTTTTAAGACCAATAAGCCATCATCCTCTTTTTTCAAATCTTTTCTTAATTTCTTAATAAATAACTTATTTTAATGATGTCGCATGCAACCCCTTCCTGAAGAATTCGTACTGGCTTTTGAAAAAACGAAGAAAATATTTGACCGATAGTCTTTGCAAATACTTTTTTCTTTTTCAAAGCCCACACTGATATCTAAGCAGAATAATGAAAACTCTATGGAGGAAGGAAAGGGATGGATAGAGATAATGCTACATCTATCATCTCTAATGACACAAAGAAAGCAAAATCTCTGTAACTGTAAATTTACCTGTTCAAATGAAACACTCCTTGCTAATAGTTTTATTAGGTCTCTGGCCCTAATGATGATGTATGGATCAAAATTCTTCTTTGATCATGCTGCCCTTGATCAGGTCCAGGGTTGCATTAACATGCTACAGAAAGGAAAGAGCAAACAAGCAGCTGTCTAAAAATAAATTCAGTTTTAGATACTTATATAACCTATTCTAATCTTCCCAGTAATTACTTGGAATTAATCTCTCTAAAGTTCTATCAACTCACTCCTTGAAGAAGCTGGGTAATTAATAAAAAGAATGTTTGATTATCTTCATACAAGAATATAGAAAGTCAGGTAATTGAAACCATTATACTTACTTGATTTTAGAATATTTTGTACTTAACGTAATAAATATTATCTCTAAATGCATACACACACACACACACATATATATCTCAATCCATATGAGGCCATACTTAACATCTAATATAAAAATGCAAAGCTATATGGCCCTATCCTGGACCTACCTTAAATCCACCATCTTATCCTTAGGGTGAGAATAGACTTCCCTTTCCAACTTTTTTTCAAGCTGGTTTTTGTTAGCTAACTACAAACAAAGTAAAAAACAAATTATCATAAGTTCAAAAAGAAGCAATAATTGGAAAATTATGCATCAACTCTCAGTACAAAGAACCAGGTTTCCATAAAGCAAATAAAAAATGCTATTTTTTGACATGTGAACATATTCTGAAGAATATTTCAATATAGTGAGTGATAAACTATTTAACGTAAGGCTGGATCTCTATGAGTTTACCAAAAAGAGAGGGGGAGGGGGGGGCAGCAGGTGTGGCTCCATGGCTGAGCATCACCCTATGAACCAAGAAGTCGTGGTTCAATTCCAGGCAGGGCACACGCCCACGGTGCAGGAGGCAACTGATCAATGACTCTCTCTCATCATTGATGTTCCTATCTTTCTCCCTCTCCCTTCCTCTCTGAAATTAATAAAAATATACTTAAAAAAAAACCAAAAAAAAAAAAAACCTACCAGCATAAAATACTTAAAGTGAAGGTATCAGCAGAGCAAAATCTCAAAGAAATATATAAAATATGCATACATATTCATTCAAGGCTTTCTTTTACCAACGGCCAGCATTCTTTCAAGTAAGCCTCTTGATAAAGGGTTAAGTTTACACTTGCATTGTGACATTCTTTTGAGTTAACAAAGCTATTGTAATAATCATAACCTGCATATCTTTTTCCGTAGATAGAGATAATGTGAGCCTACTTTTGCCAATCTCCATATTTGAGAACAGAGTTGCAAAACTGCTTCCCTCCAAGAGTCCTCTGGGTTTGTCCTCTGGAAAAAGCTGGTTCCTCCAACCATCAGCTACAGTGAGGAGCTCTGATTCATCTACAGGAAAAATTACACATCAGATTTTAACCTACTTTTGAACATTTATCTGCATACATTTACAAGCTGCCAATACTCCCTCTGCATTTCCTTTTCCTATGCTTTTTAGATTACTCAGCAGTCAGAGAACAGGCCTCTATCATTACCAAAACACTATTAAAACTACATTCCTGTGGCTTCGTAAAACAAAGTTCCTTAAGGGCAAGGACCCAACTTGGATCCACACCAATTAGTACACACCTGACAGATGGTGGGTACTCAAGTAACTTCCACTGCACCACACTGTGTTAGAGATTAAGACTCAAATACCATTTTGTTTACAAGGCTATTCTAAATATAAATAACCTTTCAAATTTTACTGAAATGAAGCCTGAGTATGTGTGTGTGTGTTTACTATGTTTGCATGTTGGTGCATGTGCATAAAACTTTTAAAAGCTGATTCTCTGGCCTGGCTGCCTTGACTCAGTGGTTGAGCATCAACCCATGAACCAGGAGGTCCCAGTTTGATTCTGATCAGGGCACACGCCCGGTTTCAGGTTTGATCCCTGTGTGGGGCATGCAGGAGGCAGCCGATCAATGATTCTTTCTCATCATTGATGCCCGCCCCCCCCCCCTCCTTTCCCCTCTGACAGTAATTTAAAAAATATTTCTTTTTTTTTTAAAAAGCTGATACTCTGGTGTACACTTACAGCTAATAATCCCTGGTATAGGGTTTTAGGTTTCCTGTAGAGTTTTCATGAACCTTATTTCTGTATACTCTTCATGAAAACTATGAAAGGTAGGAAGAACCACTATCATTTTCCCCATTTTATAGAAGACATTCAGTCTAAAAAGATTAGTGACTAAGGGAACATAAAGGACTCTTTCATTAAAACAAAATGCTTCTGAAGGGCCATAAATTATCTTTCATACCATTTATTGAAACTCCTGGATTTTAGGAACCTCTTAAATCCAATAACTATAACTCAATATCAAGGACTACTCAAAGGCCTGCAGCATGATCATAAACTGCAAGTATTAGAAATGCAATTTTTGGCCTCTACCCTAGACCTACTGAATCTGAATCTCCTCTTCAATATGTCTGTGTCCTTTATTATCAGCTCTTTTTAAAAAATGTATATGCATATTTTATTGATTTTTTTACAGAGAGGAAGAGAGAGGAATAGAGAGCTAGAAACGTCGATGAGAGAGAAACATCGACCAGCTGCCTCCTGCACAACCCCACCAGGATCGTGCCCGCAACCAACGTACATGCCCTTGACCGGAATCGAACCTGGGACCCTTCAGTCCGCAGACCGACGCTCTACCACTGAGCCAAACCGATTTCAGCTATTACCAGCTCTTAAGTCAACTACAGAACCATCTCCTACTCCCACGGCATCCCTCGTTTTGCCAATGACTTGCAGCCATTGCAGCGGGTCTAAGGTGCGCCCTCCGCAATCTCTTAATCATCATTTTATAAAAGACGAATCCCGCGGTACCTTCACTGTGGGGACCTTTAGCAAAAAGTGATTAGTTAGGAACACCTGACCGGCACCATATCCGGCCTATACCCCTGAAAAGCAGCTCTTACAGATACTCAATTCTAGAGAACAGACTCGAGGCGGCGCTACACGATCACAATTAAACCTCCAAACCCAGGCTCTGGCGCTCACACCACCTCACCCCGGTTCTCCTGCTTCTGCTTCTGGTTACGAAATTCACTTTTCCCAGCCGCTAGCGCTGGCTCGTTCACTTCGGAGATCGCCATCTTCGGACCGCTTCCGGTGTTACCGGAAGTGGAACGGTTCTTAAATCCTTCCGGCTAAAGTCCCGGTACCAAGAGGAGTTCCGCAGAACCCAGACAAGGAGATCGGCGCAGTCTCTGTGCGCGCCTACCGAAAACCCCGGGTCTGTGTAAACTGCAGCGCTTCTCCTGCTGCCAATGGGGAGTCAGGGACATCCTTTTCAGGATGCACTGAAACCAGGGGGTTTGCCTGCATGCTGGGAATGGTAGTTTAGCGTTGTAAATTGGAGATGAGCTTCGTCTGTACTTTCCCCCCCCCAGGCCTCATTGTGCCACCCCGGAGGACGAGCTCCAGGTTTTGGCCGCAGAGTGCCATGTAACTGTTACTGATGCCACTCCTGTGCTAAATATTTACATGACAGTCAAATATGTGGTTGGCGAGGAGAAGGTACTACCGTGTTTCCCCGAAAATAAAACATCCTCTGAAAATAAGACCTACTTACAGGTTTCTCCCCAAAAATAAGCCCCCCCCCCCCCCCCAGGCTCTGTCTCAATGATATTGCTAAACACGAGAGATTTGGTCCACTGATTCTGAAAGAAATGGAGTCACAAGAAATTCACCAGGAAATTCAGGAATTGGATTGTTATGATGTTCCAGAAGATGACAGGATTGTCATTGAATAAATGAGTGAATTCTTGATACTATAGGATTCAGAGTTTGTCTGGTTTGTGTTGACAACTGCCATACTACCGTGCCGTATACAGGTAATAAATTTCCTTTATTTTCATTTAACAATAAATGTGTACCGTATTCTTCTTCATGGAAAAATAAGATATCCCCTGAAAATAAGACCTAGCGCATCTTTGGGAGCAAAAATTAATATAACACATTGTTTTATTTTCGGGGAAACAGGGTAATATGAGAATATTTGGTTCTCAATGGCAGGAAGTGACAGTAATAACTCCCATTTATTATGAAATTACTTTGTTCAAGGTACGTTATGTGCATTATATTTGAGAAACTAAAGTTAAAACAGAACAAGATTGATACTTTTTATGGAAGGTAAGTTTTCAAAGTCCTTGTTTCTGATGGTGATTTTCCTAGGGTACTGATATTTCTCTAAGTCAACAGGACAGTAACTAAGCAGCACTTCTGGAGTATTTCATTTCGCCTAAGATTTCCCAAAATGACTCCATGCTACCCCTACACTGCATATTAGCTGACTTCAAGATGTGAAGTTCATCACTACTACAAATCTTTACACTTCTAGGAATCTCAAAGTTCTTAGACTCACTAAAGATAACACATTTTTTGATGATTGATCTTATTGCTTGCTATTTAAAATATTTCCTGCAGCACAAATAGAAGTCTTTGACAGGTTGAATTTCTCTCATTAGTGGAATGGGAAAACAATGATCTGAAATCCATCCTTGTGGATTTTATCGTCTATAAAAGATTATGAGGTAGGTGTAGAAAACATTGTTACTTAGGGACAGAAGATTTAAAGACATGACTACATTAAGATTTTTGCTTTTATCCTGTGTATTATAGGCAGTGATTTCATCCCAATGTTCTTACAATTTGCTAAAAATTATATATATATATATATATATATATATATATATATATATATACACACACATATATTTTTGAACAAATAGCAGATGAAAGTTATAAAGTGAGAAGCAATTCCTTCAGTGTTCCCAAAAAAACCTAGTAGTGAATTGGACTTCAAATCCAGGCAGTCTGACCATTAGTAGCTCTGGTACAAGGAGGGCTGGGTTTTTAGCCTTATAGCTTTTGAACTTGAGCTGCAACAACAATAGTTCTCTGGGTCTCCAGCCTGCTGGCCCACCCTGAAGATTGCGACTTCCCAGGCCCCCATAACCATGTGAATATAATCTCTCTCTATTGTTTCTCTGGAAAACCCTGACCAATAAAGAGCAAATCCAACTGGTTGATAAACATATTACACTGTCAGAAAAACATATAGATATAACAATACCACTTTTCACCTACCAGATTGGCAAAAATTAAATAATAAAAATATTTTTTAATGATAATCTGCTGGAGGAAAGAGCAGCCTTAGACATTCTGGTAGAAATGTAAACTGTTACTGTCTTTATACAAAGCAATCTATCAATGTAAAAATATACATATCCTTCCATAATAATTTTGTTGCTGGGAAACTGTCAGCTGGAAAGAAAGCACCATCCCATTAGGAAGTATATACAATTGTGTTGATTATTGTCTTGTATAGAAGTAGTTCAGGCCCTAGCCAGTTTGGTTCAGGGGATAGAGCATCAGCCACAGACTGAAGGGTGCCAGGTTCAAATCTGGTCCAGGGCATATACCTCAGTTTCAGGCTCAATCCTCAGCTCTGATGGGGGCTCATGTGGGGGGCAGCTAATCAACGTGTCTCTTTCACATTGATATTTCTCTCTATCTCTCTATCGATGGAAAAACATCCTGGGTTGAGGATTAACAACAACAACAAAAAAGAAGTAGTTCACTGAAGGTTACTTTGGAGCCACACTGATAGTTTAGTGCCTACTGGCTATGTAAGCTTGGGCAAATTTTTACCCACCCCTATTTAGTTTCCTACAATGGAGAGAATAACTTTAACTCAGCGATTTAATTATGTAAATTGCTAAAAAAAAAAAAGTGATTTACATATGGAACACACTCAGTAGATATTAGCTATTATTTATAATGTCAAAAAATAAAAACATCCTGACTATCAATTAGAGATACAGTTAAGTAAATTGATGTTACCTTCATGATTATGAGATATTATGCAACCATTCATAAGAATTAAATATATATGGAGAGATTACCTAGAGGCATTGAGTGATGAAAGCCAGATACAGAAAGATGGGATAATTATATACATAATTGTAATTACATTAAAAATTATATAGTAATTATATATACATATATAATTATCCCATTTTTATCAAACAAATCAGTAATTCATTCAACAAGTACTTATTGAGCATCTATAATGTTTCAGGTGCTATTCTAAATACTTGGTCAGGTTCTATGTGTTGTATATAATAATAATTATACATAATTATTATTTTACTTTATACATTACTAATTATATATATATATATGATTGATATATATGTATATAATTTTATACATATATCAAGTGGCCAAATTATTGTGCATTCAGAGATCATAATAATTTGGCCATTCAGTGTGTGTGTGTGTGTGTGTGTGTGTGTGTATGTAATATATATATTCCTACAATGAAAAATTCTTTGGAAGGAAATACATAAACTTCCAAGGCTGCCTATCTTAGGGATGAGGGTGATTAAAAAGAAAATGCATGTAGGAAAAAAGACTAGAGATGATAGGTGTTCATTATGAAATATCAGGCATATGGCTTCGTTCATGTAAAACTGTCTATGTTAGGGGTGTCGAACTCAATCAGAGAAGGGGCCAAAATCTAAAATCCAGCCTAAATCGGGGGCCGAATGGTTTACTGTCATTGTGATGGAACCGAAGCGGAGTGCAGTGATGACATCGCGGTGCGGGCCACATTGCAAGGCCTGGCGGGACGGATTTGGCCCACGGGCCTTGTGTTTGACACATGTGGTCTATGTGCATGGGCTGCATAGGGAGATCTATAAAATGATAGTCAACAAAATGTTGACTATTACCTCTCAGTGTAGCAACATTTCAAAGGATTGCAATTTAAGTAACAATAGTCATGTATCAGTTGCAACTATGTCATTTTATTTTAACACTAGAGGCCTGGTGCATGAGGGGGTCCCTCAGTCTGACCTGCCCCCTCTCACAGTCTGGGAGCCCTCAGGGGTGGGAGGCGACCTGGCAATCTGGGGAAGGTGACGCCCCCATCACACCTCTGCTGCTGCCACTGCCAGAGAATTTGCAGCCCCAACAAAAAAGAATTATCCAACTAAAAGTGTTGATAGTGCCAAGACTCAGAAACTTTCATCTGTAGCTGTTCTTAATTTCTGTGATTCTACTGTAAAGGGTCAGTAAGTGCTTCACTTCTAACCAGGCCTGTCATGAAAGCGGTTATTTTCTGCTGTGCTTATCTACTGAGGGCAGCACTTGATGTTCTGTATGCTGGCCTCCTCCATGGGCAATCCCGCTTAATTTCCCTCAGCTCTGCTCCTGTCCTTCTGGAATTCTGTTGTCTCATCACCCAAACAAACAGTGGCACTTGTACATGCAGTGGGTGCCTCGGTTTAAAGACATTCATTCCGCTTGACTATTAGTCTCTCCAGGCCCCAGGCCCATGAAACATTAATATTTCATTGGGAAAAATTACTATTTCCAAGGCAATCTTCCTTCTCTCTCTTCCTGGTTGTTATTATTGATAAGCAACAGCTTTGATTTAATTTTAGTGTACTATTCTTCTCCCTAAAGAGAAGCTGGACACATTTATGGTATTAGGTTCCACCATAGCAACAGAAGGCTTTTTAATGCATGCATGGATATTCAAGATTTAATTAGTGGCATGGGAAATGTATTGATACTGCTGAGAATTGTTATTTTATGAAAATAGAATAAACTATAGTCTTTTATTTGTTGACATGACACTGGGAGAACATATGAACTTTTTCTAGTCAATTGTTAAGTCTATGCCTCTCCCATCTTTCAGATGGTGGCAACTGCAGATGGCCTACAATGAAATGAACTGTTAGATGAATGGTTTTAAACAAAACATGCAATGGGTTTCTATTTAACAAGGCATTATATGATGTCACCACTTCAAAATGTGACATTGATTATTCTTTGTTTCAAATTCTCTAATTAAATACCTTAGCACCATAGAGACATGAAAATTCAGACTTTCACACTACATTGTGCCTGTGATCACCTAACAGTTTTTTTAGTCTCTTTTGATTTATCAGTGACTCTACTGCTGTGATGAAATCTATGGGCCAGAAAAGCACGTATATTTGGGAACATAACTTTTTTTTTTAAATATATTTTATTGATTTTGTACAGATAGGAAGGGAGAGAGATAGAAAGCCAGAAACATCGATGAGAGTCATCGATCAGCTGCCTCTTGCAC